AAGCAATTTATTTTAAGGAAGTAGGAGATTATCTTGATTTTTCTTCATCTTCGGTTTTAACTGTTTCTGAACTGAAATTTTCCGCTATCGTGTGTGTGCATATATTTATTCTTAAATTTAGTTTTGTCTATAGCTATTAACGGTTACCTTTTTAAAATTCTTTCCGGATTTACCTTTTTTTCTTTTTCTCGGTTTATCATACTTTTCTGTCCGGTGTGTCACTGAATCAGCTAAAAGTCAGCTGGTGAAATGTTTTTTTTTAAAGTAATTTATAATACATGTTTTTGTATTAGTTCACTTAATTTCTAATTTTGGACTTCCGATTGGATATGACGTTTTTAAACTTCAAAAAACGGATGAAGATGACAGTTAGTCAAACAAAAAGATATTTTCATATTAGTTGAACGCCTTCAATATTTAAAAGTAAGCATTTATTTAGAGTTTCCTACTATTTCCGGATGATATTGAGATGAAATTTTGTGTAAAATTATAAATCCACCAACACAAAATTAGTAAAAAACTACTATTGTGTTGCGAAAGTTAACTTTAACAAAATGAGTTATGATTTTTTTTGTTCATCCTGAATTTCTTATTCTTTCGGTCAGTAAGAAATTTATAGAATATAAATTTTGAGGTAAAAGATCCGAGATCATTTTGTTCAGTTTCTAAGCCATATCTTTCCATGGTACATACATCACATGAGATATTCAGATTTAAGCAATTCAACAACTGCTCAATTACCATAATTATATTCATGACTATTCACAACACTATATTATAAAATATGCATTATGGTTTACCGAAAGCAGTTTGAACAAAATATTAAAGCTTACATTGTATTCACCGACTTGTTGGCTTTAACATGGGGATTTCGGTTAACGATTTAACTATTATTTTTTTTTATTTTCATTGTAGACAAAGCTGAAAGACGGCAAATCATTAGAACTTTTCTACTTCCTGTAAGAAATGTCAACTACGATCTTAATTGGTTTTTTATTAAAAGCATACACCATATTACATCTTTACAGACTATTTTTAATTTAATTTGATTAATTATCAGCATCAAGATCAAGAATTGAATGAATGTGACGAAGATGTTTAGTTCATATCAAGTTGACATGTATTGTGTGTGAAATTATAGAAGGACCTATTATATGCTAAACATCAGTTTTATTTTAAAGACATCTAGATGGCAACATACATACTTCATCATTAGACGTCTGTTCAATATGGATAGTCTCTTTTTTATATGTCGTCCTGAGTCTATTAACGATGCGAATAAATTTAGCAGAAACAAACAAAGACAACAAATTCTCACAATAACGAAACACAATAAAATATTAAGACATATTTCAACATCTAACGAGGTTCAATAATGCATGTATACATAGGTTCAAACCATTAAAACTCAAAAGAGGAGAAGCCGAGACAATTAAAATCACATATGAAATAAAGACAGACAACATGATGACCGAATCGAACAAATAAATAAATCCGAGCTCTATAAACATCCTCACCGTAAAAGTTAGGATGTGATCTCCCGGTTGTAACAAGTTTTTAAAGGTACATGTAGAGTCAAACCCAAAACAAATCCTTGTATCTATGAAAGAATTTCGTAAAGGTTTTAAGTAATTTGTGGTTACGAAATCCCCGACTTAGAATGAATTTCATAACAGTGTGGACATGGACACCTGATATTTAAATAATATTGTGTCGGTCACTGGCTGTCGACAACAAAGACTTCACGCATTTACAGTATGTCAGGGGCCTCTCAATCGGGATACACATAATTACTATTTTACACATGACCATTCATAAAATTTTTTTTTTTTTGCATGAAAGTTTATGGGAATTTGTTTTGAATATAGATATGAGAAGATGTGGTATGAGTGCCAATGAGACAACTCTCCATCCAAGTCAAAATTTATAAAAGTAAACCATTATAGGTCAAAGTACGGTCTTCAACACGGAGCCTTGGCTCACACCGAACAGCAAGCTATAAAGGGCCTCAAAAATTACTAGTGTAAAACCATTTAAACGGGAAAACCAACGGTCTAATCTATATAAAAAACGAGAAACGAGAAACACTTATGAAACACATCAACAAACGACAACTACTGAACATCAGATTCCTGACTAAGGACAGGTGCAAACAATTGCAGCGGGTTTAAACGTTTTAATGGTACCAAACCTTCACCCTTATCTGAAACAATAGTGTAACATCACAACATAGAAAATAACACTATAAAATATCAATTGAAATGGCTTAACTCGATCAAAAACATATAAACACCAGTGAACATACACTGAACAAATAAATTTGATCTATGATACAATGTAAATACAAAAATAAATAAACTAAGGGAAGAATAATTAAAGTAACATGTTATACCGCTGTGAAATGTTAAACAATTTAAGAAAAACAATTTGCAATTACTTTAAACACAGGTAAATGAAAATAATTTTGTTGTTAGGTATACGTGTACAGTTCAAATAGAGAAAGGAAATATTTTGACAAAATAAATAGTTTTGATGTTCATAGTACGAAGATGTGAAAATTTATAGTAATACCAAACACTTATCAAAGCTGGTATACAGACCAGATATAACCCTGAATAACATTAAATCACAAAAAAGCATTACACTTAGTATCAACAGGTCAAATAAACAAGAAAGTACAATTTGAGAGTACTCGCAGTTACTGACAGCTAGTTAAAAGCCAAAAACAATTAATAATAAAAAATCATGCATCAGAGACTAAAATCAACTAAAACACATCCCAGGGATTTAGTATTTTAACGTCATGGACAGTCAAAGAAGACATGACTTGTGCAATGCCAAAATAAATGTATCGACAGGCAGAAGGATAGTTAGGAGTTAACCTCTTTATAGATCAAAATGAACGTGGGTGTGTCTTTATACATCCCGTTTGAAAAGAATACAAATTTAGTTATGTTTTAATTTGCTGATGACAAAATCGATATTAGTGCCAATGTAAACTATATTCAAAGATCTAATTACAACATTGGTAAGATAACCTTTACTGATAAGTTTGTTTAAAGGTTCGATGAGTTTACACGGATCACATAGTGATTTCCGCGCTTTAAGTACAATATTACCGTAAAATTTAGGATGTAAAATACCGTTTTTAATCAGTTTTCTACAGGAACATCCAAATTTACTAATCAAATCTTTGTATCTATGAAAGAATTTAGTAAAAGTTTTACGTAATTTATGGTAACGAAATCCCTGACTTAATAATTTATCAGTGATGCATTGATTACCTTCGTTAAAATCTATGACATCACTACACATACGGGCATAACGAACGAGTTGGGATATATAAACACCGTATGAAGGAGCCAAAGGAACATGGCCGTCTAAAAAAGGACAATTAACAATAGGGAATGAAAAGTCGTCTCTTTTGTCGTAAATTTTAGTATGGAGTTTTCCTTTAGAGATTGAAATGTCCAAATCTAGAAAAGGACAACTACTGCTGTTTATGTTATATTTAGTTAAAGTAAGTTCTTTTGGGTAAATTTCGGTAGTATATTTAGAGAACTCTGGATTATTTAACGAAAAAATATCATCCAGATAACGGAATGTATTGTTGAATGTATCAACCAAATGTAACAATGACGTGTCTTTACTGAGTTTGGTCATAAACTGAGATTCATAGCAATACGGGAATAAATCTTCTATTAAATGGGCGCAGTTAGTGCCCACAGGAATACCTACTACTTGTCGATACACTTTATCGCCGAAACGTACATATATGTTGTCCAGGAGAAAATTTAAAGGTTCAATCATATCTTCACATTTCCAGTAAGTGTATCTAGCATACTTTCCTTTTTCGTTACAGAAAAAGGCTTTAAATGAGTTACATCAAATAGATTTGTAATGAGATTTTTCAAAAAACCATTTAATTAAATATGAAAACTTTTTCTTGATAAGATTGTGTGGAAGTGTAGTATAGAGAGTAGAAAAATCATAACTGTCAACAGAATTAAAAGGACCATTAAAAGCATGTATTTTATCTAAAACCTCTAAAGAATTTTTAACACTCCAAAAATAATTAATACCATTATTTTCATACGCTTTATTACAAACGTTAATAACAAGTTCTTTGATAGTAGTAAGGGAGGTAGTTACAAGCACTGATAGATTGGTAGTAGAACACTTACTAGATGCGGAGATGAAACGGAATTTAAATGTTTTTTTGTGCAATTTAGGTAACCAGTACATAGTAGAGACTTTCAAATGTTTGGAAGAGGCTTTAAGCTGGGTAGTGGCAGTGATATGCTTGTTTACAATTTGACTCTCTGTGGAGCGTACGGACCTGAATGAAGATGAATTTGTAATCTCGTTTTGGAGAAATTCCTTGTAGTATATGCGTCACACCACCACGACATTAATTGCTGCTTTGTCTGTCGGTACGAACACAAACCGCTTTGCGAGTACTTGGAGTTTATTTTTTATTCTAGAAATGGGAATATCATGGACCCTATTACTAATTTGAGAATTGTTTTCAAAATGAGATATACGAATATTAACAGTATTCATAATTTTATTCCAATAATTGTCTAGAGTTTTTTATCAGATTTTGCACTCATACCACATCTTGTTATATCTATTAACTTCATTCCTTGTAGATCACGCACAATATATATTAATTGCAGATACGATTGTAAATAAGTCTTTTAAATATAGATATGATTCTATCATAAAATATTCCTTATATGGTGTTTTTTGCCAAACTTATGTTCACCACTACTAGATATATACATAATACTATTAATAAACATTCTGTCAGGTAAAAAATCAATGGGACATAACTCATGTTTAAATATAGTAGAAGTAATGAAGTTTGTATTTACCCTTTTACGTACGTGGAGTGTAGAGACTTCCATATATGGTCACTATAAAGAAAAATCTATGAATTTCATTAGAATACAGTTTGAATTCGTGGAAAACTTTTTTCATCATATAAAATACGACAATTTTGACATGACCAAGCATACAGATTTAAAGGAGGGTTCACGAAAAAGAGAATTTATCTTAAAGACAAAACGTGAGTATATTTTAAATTGATTTTTTTATTTAAAAAAAAAATAATTACCATAGTATATTTTTGTGTCTTGTTTATAATTATATATTAAATTTTCATAAAGGGGCCAAATAAAACCAATTATGTCTTATGCTGCATACTTTGAAGACTACTTGTTTGTGTATCTACAATGTAATAATAATTAATTTTTAGATTTGAAATACAGTTAAAACATGTCTTCTCCCGTTTATGATGATGATATTGCAGCCGTGGTTATAGACAATGGTTCCGGAATGGTCAAAGCTGGATTTGCAGGCGATGATGCACCGAGAGCTGTTTTTCCTGCAATAACTGGACGCCCAAGACATCAGGTATAATTCAGAATGAAGAATAATTTTCGATTAATGGATACCAAAAATAAAAATAAAATCATGAACTATTCGATTATTTATAAAAAAAAAAAATGCCTTCATTTGCTACTCTTTTTTTTTAACATTTATTTCAAGCAAATCAGAATTTAGGAATATCAATATATTAGTTTCATCGTTTAAATTTGATTTTTAGATTTAGTTTTGTTTTTCTGCAAATAGTATGGATAGTTTTGTTTGATTAATAACAGATAGTAATGCAAGGTATGGGTGGGAAGGACTGTTTTGTTGGAGACGAAGCACAGAGTAAACGTGGCGTCCTAACATTGAAATATCCCATTGAACACGGAATAGTTACAAACTGGGATGATATGGAAAAACTGTGGCATCATACATTCTATAATGAACTCCGAGTTGCTCCAGAAGAACATCCTGTCATGTTAACAGAGGCTCCACTAAACCCAAAAGTTAACAGAGAAAAAATGACACAAGTAAGTAGTCGTAACATTGTATATACTAAACGAAACTATTTATTTTGTTATTTAAAGATATTATTATCATTATTGTTATTATCAACATTGTCAATAACATTGTTAGATTAACATATTTTTAAATTTGACACGTTACATGTACTTACTTATATATGAAATTTTCCACCAATAAAAACTGGCCTTCATTATACAATCAAGTGCGATGAATGTAGCGTTACACTCCAAAAATCAATCAATCAATTACAATAAACGCATAATAATGTATGGCCCTGGTTACATATTAAACTGACATCAGTTATTTTAGCGTTCTTCATAGAAAGACTGTCTACTAAGACATTTTTTTTTAATCTATTCTATTTTTATTTTGCTTTTGATAAATTCAAATTCGTTCTGCAATCAAATTTTCAATATGAAGATAAATTATGCTATATTTTTACACTTTTTTTTCTGAAAGTGACATTAAACATTAAAAAATCAATCAATCTTTGAGGACCATTCAATCTATTTATCTATTTATTCGTAGATAATGTTTGAAACATTTAATGCTCCTGCTTTCTATGTCGCCATACAAGCCGTTTTATCTCTGTATGCATCTGGGAGAACAACAGGAATAGTATTTGATTCTGGAGATGGAGTGTCCCACGTTGTACCAATTTACGAAGGTAAACCTATAAGTAAACAAATAAAACGAATCACAGTGTCTATAGGTTGCATTTCTGTAAATATTGACAATGCAATTTCCCATAGGAACTCCTTTTACGGCTAAAACTGTACCACTTTTACTATGAAGTTTTGAAAAAATCATATCCTAGAATGGAAAGTTCATATGCACTACAATTTTTTTCAAAGGTCAAAATATAGGGCTGTTCGGCATATTTTCAACGTTTATATGCCCCGAACTTCTAAGAGTTTAAACTAACACTAAATTTCTAAACTATCCCTACCTTGACTGAAGGATTACCACAGATTTCAATATAAACAATATGCATATGCATATTTACTGGTAACATTCCCAAGTTATGTCTCTATGAGATGAAACATAGAGATCATAACTAGGAACCAGTATGTAAACAAAATTAATTATCTATGAATATTCTACCAAAAGAGGCGTGGTTTGAGAAACAGCTGTATTTACAAAGTGCAACCTATAGCTTTCATTGTATATTGCAGGAGTTTTAGTTAAGTAGTTGTTATAAAATTCATCAGTAAAAATATAAATATATTTATTTTTTTAAGGAATTTTCTTGAAATTTTATATAAAGCTGTTATTTGTATATATAAAGATGAATAGTATGATTATAAAGTTTAATTAGATGTCTCCGAGACTGTAATCTTTTAATCAAAATATTATGCTTTGTTATTAATATTAATAAGCAATCTTACCATAATCAACAATGAGCCGGTGTCTAATATAAATAAACACTAAATGAAAACGCGAGGTATTAAAAAAAATCTAATCAGACTTGGACAATTTAACAAGGATGATTTTCCTACAAAATAATCTTTTTAACATTTGACTTCAAAAACCCAGTTGAAGTGTCCATGAAAGATTTACAAAATCAATCCCTTCTTCACATAAATTATTCGCATAATGTCTCTCAATATAACTGATAAATTTTATAATTTCAAAATTTTAATGTAATATTCGCCACTGGATAATAAGAAAACAGTAATACTTCAATTGTCACCTTATCATCATATTCAGCGTTCATGTAAATGAAATAATTTAAACACAAGTAGAAAATTGGATACAAAAAATCGAGTGTAATGATAATTATAACGTTTTGTTGACCTAAAACTTAGGTACTAGACAAGGCAAAAAATACAATACAGAATTAAACTTTGACTGTCTTAATAACGTCAGATAACTGCTGTACATCTTACGCAATACTGCAGCCTCGTTTTAAAATGATTATTGTTCAAAATTATTCAAATATTTTTTCAGGATATGCTTTACCACACGCCATTAAACGTCTAGATCTCGCAGGAAGAGATTTGACCGCATATCTGCAAAGAATCTTGCATGAAAGGGGTTACAATTTTGTCACCTCAGCTGAAGCAGAGATAGTGAGAGATATCAAGGAGAAAATGTGCTACGTTGGTCTCGACTTTGAACAAGAAATGGACACTTCAGTCAAGTCATCATCTCTGGAAAAGTCATACGAATTACCAGATGGTGCTGTCATTACCATCGGAAATGAACGCTTCCGGTGCGCAGAAGTCCTATTTCAGCCATCATTCATTGGTATGTTGAGGAAATTCGAAAAGTAGTGTCATATCATTTTCATTATTCTCAACGATAGCTCCTTGAAAAATTAAGTTGACATTCTGTGGAAATTTTAAATTGTTTCCGTATGTGCTAGATTTACTAGAAAGGGAATTAGTATATACTTAGTTTTTTAAAACATAAGTCCTTTATGGCTTACTTTTTTCACAAGAGTCATTTATAACTATAGTATTACATTACATGTATGTTTCACGAGAATCCTTTAGTTTGATTGGCTAACAACAATCGCGCGTCATTCAAAAATTAACCTTTATGTTACATTCGTGATGACACGTGCTTCCACAAAAAGTGCACAGGTAAATAAAAGAAAAACTTGATAAAAGTTTTTTCGTGGTCTTATTAGCATAAAAATGTAATTATAAGAAATGAATGCTTCTTTTTGTAATTTTATTGGGGTGTAAAAGTGTTGATCGTGCACACATTTTTAAAATGAAGCGCTTACGCGCTTCATACAAAATTTGCTTCAGTCAATACTTTTACACCCCAATAAAATTACAAAAAAAAACCATTCATTTCTTAAAATTTCATGTTTATAATTAATTGCAGGAATGGAGCCCAGTGGAATCCATGAAATGATCCACAATTCCATTATGATGTCAGACATTGATATTAGAAAAGATCTGTACAGTAATATTGTGTTATCAGGAGGTTCCACAATGTTTCCTGGTAGGTAATACAATTGATGAACAAAATTATGGAATTACACAAGTAAAAGCCTTGGCCTTTTATGTCGCCTTTCTTTGCAAACCTACTGCACTCATGTAGTTTGATGTTTATTTTGTTCAGTTTGCGATGAGTAACAGGATCGGTGCTACTGTTGGAGCAGGAACCTGAATTATATCTATAGACAGTGCACATATGGTATCTTATTTCAGCAAAGGAAAATATACATCCCCTTTTAACATTCACGTCAATTTGTCTCTGGTAGCTAGCTGTACAACATCTTCTCATTTTCATATTGGAAAATGGAACACATATCAAAGATTGCTCATATAAAACAGAAATTCAAAGAAGTAAAGAAGCTTTAAAAAAAATCATGGAATATATACGATGCAAAATTATATTCTTAAAATTATTCCTTTTAGGTATTGCTGATCGTCTGAAGAAAGAAATGGAAGCCATATCTCCTGGTTCAATGAAAACTAAGATTATTGCACCTCCAGAAAGAAAATATTCAGTTTGGATTGGAGGATCTATACTTGGTTCTCTATCCACTTTCGGACAGATGTGGATTTCAAAGCAAGAATACGATGAAAGTGGACCAAGCATTGTACATAGAAAATGTTTCTAGACAAAAGTTTTACTTAAAAGTTAAGGAAAAGTGCAATATATACAAGACTAGTAAGAACAGATTTGACAATGTGCAAGAAACAGGATTAGTACAAATATGTCCGAAGAAAAAAACTCTAGAGCATAACATTTTTATTATACAAGTATAAATGCTTCGATAAAAAGATCGATAAATGGATATAAATCATTGTGTGCTTGGTTTTTTTTTTTTTGTGAAGGATTATTTAATACTGTCTTGTGTTAGATGATAGAGTCACAAATATTTACATACACTTTGTTCAAATGCCTTGGACAAAATGGAATAATTGTAAAAATATGATATGATTTAATGTTATGTGATTTTTTTTTATTTCATCATTATAGTTGAATAATTCTTCGTGCATCTTTGTGCCTGTTATATTCAAATATTAAAAGTAGATTACTAAATACAATTATATTGAATGATAGACAAAAGAAACACCAAATGTATGATCCTCCATAGTTTTGACGATCGAAGTTTATAAATTAATGCTCTTAAATATAAGACTGTTGGCTATTATCTATTTTCTTTTTTCTCTTTTTTGTTTCAACTTGGTGCTCCTTCGTACAATTCATTTCAAAGAAATTAAGAAAAGTAATATTTGTTGCATTAATCGTAAATCATCTTGTCCGTCCGTCCGTCCGCAAGTCCGTCCAGATGTCCGTCACAAACCCTTCCCCATGTAGCTTGATATGATAATTTAACTGCTAAAAGGTGTGTTTCGTACGTGCAAGGTAACCGTACAGTGAAATTCATGGCCAAAAACGAAGATCAGCTTAGTCAAACAAGTGAATATGTACAACATGATTTCCACTTTTTTACACGAAAACCCAATTGAGTTGGGAATAAAACTGGCTTGGCATGATAATTAATCATAACTAAGAGGTGTGTTGGGTAAAGAAAAAACAAGACCGTACAGTCATGGTCTAAAACTTTGATCAACTTTGTCACCCTGGTACATTTGTACAAAAGTCGATTCCGCAATGAAACTTTCCAAAGACCTTTCGAGTACCGTACTAAAACTTCAGTTGGCATGATTATTCACCACTACTAAAACTTGGCATGATTATTCTCCACTACTAAAACTTGGCATGATTATTCTCCACTACTTAAACTTGGCATAATTATTCTCCACTACTAAAACTTGGCATGATTATTCTCCACTACTAAAACTTGGCATGATTATTCAACACTACTCAAAATTGGCATCAGTGATAATTCTACACTACAAAAATTTGGCATGATTATTCACCACTACTAAAACTTGGCATGATTATTCTCAACTATAAAACTTGGCATTTTATTCACCACTACTAAAACTTGGCATGATAATTCTACACTACTAAACCTTGGCATGATTATTCTCCACTACTAAAACTTAGCATTTTAGTCACCACTACTAAAACTTGGCATGATTATTCTCCACTACTAAAACTTGGCATGATTATTCACCACTACTAAAACTTGGCATGATTATTCACCATTACTGAAACTTGGCATGATATTCTCCACTACTAAAACTTGGCATGATTATTCACCATTACTAAAACTTGGCATGATTATTCTCCACTACTAAAAGGTGTGTTAGGTGATAGATAGAAAAACGAACATTGCAAGTCATTGTCAAAATCTTAGTTCAACTTAGCCATCATTGTGTCTAGTACAAACATTTTTCAGCTCTTTAACTTTAAAAGCCTTCGGAGTTTAGAAATAAATAAATGGTGACTAAGGAAATGTCTGCCTTTCGGGGGTATATAGATATAAGAAGATGTGGTATGAGTGCCAATGAGACAACTCTCCATCTAAGTCACAATTTGTAAAAGTAAACCATTATAGGTCAAAATACGGCCTTCAACACGGAGCCTTGGCTCATATAAGCTATGTTTATATCGGATAACCCTGATTACTTCTAATATGCATCACAATTTTAATGTTAACCTGAGCGGGACCATCCGTGTGATGGTTCCCATCAATATCCTCCAGTTAAACCCTCAAATGGAGCTCATTAAAAAATAGTATGTAAAATAAGTGTTCTTCATTAAATAGAATGTTTATTTGTTTTTTCTTATAAACATCGCGATCAAAATTAATTCATCAAGCTGGTGATAAATTAAAAGTAAATGTGCTTTCTTATTGTTTGTTCATTTTTTATATGCGATTTATTCAAAAAAGTGATGACAGGTAAAATTTAAAGTATGTTTTTCTAAAATGATTTATCTTTTTATCCTGACTTTTTTTTTGTAAACGTATCTTTTACTTTCTTTATGGATCATAATGTATAACAGTTTGAATAGGGATCATCATCTATATATGCAAAACCGTGACGTAAATAAAGTTCAAGATAACCGTTTTATCAATCAAAAACTACATGTATTTAATGACACAAAATAGTAATTATAGGAAATTCAACTTTTTCCCCAGTAATCAAATTTAACTTTCATTAAAATCCTTATTTCAACAAAGCATTGCATAAATATTGTGTGTAGGTCCCCATGATCATGTAAATTTGCCAGTTTAATTACTTAGTCTTGTCTGTCAACTTTTCATATAAATTGAATGATCTAATCTTTTTTATTTTGTAGTACAATTTTATATATAATAAAGATAATTATGCTTGAGGAAAGAATTTCGATTTTCTTCAATTTCCCTAAAATTACCAATGACCAAATGAGTCATGTATGGGGAAATTTCCAAAATAAGGAGAACATTGAGTTTTTCTATAGAACCCCTCTCATATTTTACAAGGTAGAGCTTTTTTTATTTTGTAGAACACTTGGTTATATACTGAAGAGTTGCATATGGGAGAATTTTGATTTTCTACAATTTTTCACAAAATTATTCAACGTTTTTGAGACTGATTTCCAATACAGTATATCGGGTCTGTCTATCACTTAGCTCACCTTTCAGTTTACAAGATTCAAATCAGATCAACTGCAGTTTATTACCAATGCTCGAGTCTCGTTAGTCAATTATGACTAATAATATACCAAATCAAATAAAATAAACCTGACGAACATTTCAAAAGGAGCGAGACTGATAATGTGAATAAAATGAGATTTCAGCTAAATAATAAATACAAATTCAAAAAGGCGTCTTAAGAAGTAAATAACTTAATACAGATAGAAAAAATACTTTTTTTTTGGTTTCTAAATCTATTAACATCGTTACTAAAACAATATTTTACATTGTGTGTACTATGTAACAACAAAGTTGTTGACGTCATATTAGTTTCTCTTTTCTAGACTTGTTTTTTTTATATTGCCGATATGAGTATCCATCAATAGTATTAACTTAATTCCTCTGTTAGTTTCGCCGCATGTGCAAAAGATCCATCATGTCTCACCAAAGTGTTTAACGCAATGAGCTCTCCCAGCGTGTCAATACATGCATATGTAGCGTGAACATAAACTCCCTAACACATGTAACAGTTGATTATAAAAATATAATTAATCTTACCTGGTGATTTTAGAATGGCGCAAATGAAAACTTTGTTTTTGCGCAAATATAAATTTTGATATTTTTCAAAATGGCGCAAATTATTATGCCCTAAATACTTGTTATATTTTATACAGATCCACGCAATAGGGAAATTATATTAGCTCCATCATGCGTGCTGCTCTCTTGGTGATAAATCAGAGGCTGATATAAAACTTTTGCAGCTTATCTTACAAGTTTTAATAGCGTACAAGCAAATTTGATTTTAAACTATGCAGCAAAATTAGTTTAAACCTTCCGTTGTAAAACAATGGAGACAAACTCAAAGTTATCATTCTGAGAAAAATTAAAAACAAAATAAACACAAATTAAAACAATTTAAAACGGTCATCAATATCTTTGCATACGATTTTACTTGGCTACCAGCAAACGACGAAACTAAAAGTAGAAGTAATTGTTCACTGAATAGCATGAACAAACTATTTTCAAACCTATAGCCGTATCCTTACCGTTACAATAAAATATTTCAATTGACGATCATTGTCTAATCTGTCATAAACTTTTGTTTTGGTTTTTGTATAATCACTCTTCAAATCCTTGTTTAAGAAAACTAGATGATGTGACAATGTATGACATGAATTATTCAAATTGTAATACTGTAAAATTTGCAATTGACTTTGAAATGGTTTTTATCTCGATAAATCAACAGACCAATACTACTCATCAATGAACACGTCTGCTATGTAACTCCATACAAATGTGGATCAACGGACTGAGTCCTCGGTAAACCGAATGACGACCTTGAAAACTGCAGGCGGAACATCATGCTGTGTTTTTTTGTTTTTTTTTGTTTTATGAAATCTGAATCAATCATCATATATAAAAATTTATTATATATTTGCATTACGTTTTTTTTTTTTGCACAGTTATTACATTGTTCTTAAAAAATAATACGTTTTCTTTTCAGACAAGGAAAAAGAATGGGACGTTTCGTGTTAATTTCAATCTTTTTGTTGTTATTTTGCCATTGCAGTTTTATAACGCCAATGAATATGAAGTCATTTAACCCCGTGGACTACTTCTTTCGCCAGAGTAAGTATAATTGATTAATTACACTGCAGCTTAAACCACTTTTATCTAACCAGCTTATAGTCGTTCTGTTTCTTAACCAGTTCCCTTAAAGAAATAAAAATGCAGACTTTAAATTTTGAACAAAGTGTCCACTTATGTCCATCTAACATTACTATTAGTTTATATGTTGATGACAAATACAATGTACATTGTGGAAATCCACAGATAATGGTACATCTAATTACTTGTAACTTTACATTGCTACTTTTGTGTAGATGACATTGCTGGGGAACTGTAAGTCCTTGTTGGTAAATATGCCCGCTTGTTAGTGCTTTTGTGCTGGCATGATACAGATACAAACAAAAAGCTTCATTTATTGTCAGTACATGATAAAAAAATTGGCGACACAAGCTCTATTTGGCTTTTACACTGATATGCGTTGATACTTTGACATTGAAGCATTCAAATATTTTGATTTATTTTAAAATTTATAAATTTATAAAATTCAAGATTACATATATCCCTCGATGCATAGTATGCATTTGACCATTTTAACGATTATCTTTCACCCGTATAAAAGAATTATATATGTCGCTGAGAATATCATTTTATGAAGGCTTGACAAATTGACACTGTTCAACTGTGCTGTCGGATAAATCCTGAATTGCGGTGATGCTTGAAACATTGTTATTTATAAAATTACATTAACATACTACTATTATCAGAGGCAAATGTACTTTACTTTATTGTCATAATTGTGGACTACTGATTCAAAGTATAATTTTGTTTCCGAAAAATTGCTTTGTACGTGGTGTGAAGATGTCGATTGTGTTTTCTTTTGTGCGTGTTTGTTGGTGTGGGGTGTGTGCTTTCTATGGTTTGTTGTTCTTGAAA